GCCCAGATAGAGGTGAAGCCATGCGTCAACGCAAGCGACTTGGCTGAGTTGTCACAGATGTTGCTCAACGCCCGAAATTCGTCCGGGTCCAGCGGCTCCAGGAGTGAGCGCTGACCAAGACCCTCTGCCCCACCTGCCCGATTTTTCCTCTTCCTCATCCGTAGGTAGATCCTCGTGTGCGTGTAGAAAGCAGTTGCGATTTTACGTAAGACCCTTCTGGAGCGGAAACGACTGCGGTCGAAAGCTGCATCACACCTCTCCACCCACAGCGTGGGAAGAGTAATAACGATGATTGTGGTTTCTGGGAACCCTGACCTCGTAGCCTCTTTCTGAAAAAGCAGGTCACCCAGCGACTTTATCCTCCTGCCCGGGTTGACCATCCGTACTGCCTTCAGGAGACCCTGCACCACCGGTTGGATGCGGGGGCAGCTGAACAGACAATGCTCCGCTGTCTCCTCCTCTCCACAGTGCGGGCACAGAACCCCTTCCAGGAACCGCAGCCGCACCCCGACCTGTAGGTTCCGGCAGTGTAGCCGAAGCAAGACATCCCGCGCCCGGTTCGGCAGCACTGGTGAGTCTCGGACTCTGATGACGCTGGCCCAATCAATCCGTCTCCCCCAATCTTCCGCCCACTTTGCATGCTGTCGCGCATCCCCACGCGGCACCTCGAACAGCCCTCTCAGCAGTTTGAAAGGGGGGAGCTGGCCTTCCGCGCATAGCTCCGAAACCCTTAGCCTCACCTCGGGTAGGCCAGCCTCTCCAATCACCCACCCTTCTCGAACAATCAGCGGCTGCACCATGTACGGGTTCAGCGTGGTAACCCTTACCGCTTCTCCTTCCAGTGGCGTCCCCGTGCAGTCACATGCTCGGCAGACTAGCTCCCCTTGTTCCACTTTGTCAATTTTCCAGGGAACAATGGATCCCACATCCTTCACATATTCCGACTCCGCCAGCAGCTCAGCCTCCGTTAGCGGCGCCAGGAGCTTCTGCCTCCATGCATCCGGGATGCAGCCGAAGGCTTTCAGCGCCCGCTTTGCCTTCTTTTTGGTACCAATTTCCCTCGTCACCGTCTCCAGGGATTTAACGACTCTCGTCCCGTCCCGTGCAGCACAGATCAGATCACCCAGCTTGTACAGCTCCAGCACTGTCGCCACCTTCTGACGACCCAGCGGCTTCTTCCCATTTGGCAGTATTTGCCGATTGGAAACAGAGGCTCCTTCTCAATGTCCCACCTCGTTTTCGGCCCGTGTTCCACGATTTTCGACTTCATAAACATTTCGCATGTTTGACGCCATCTGACGCTTCTTCCCTTCCACTGTTTCAGGAAATCCTCGTGCGCCCAGAAGGAACGAAAACCATCCGGAAGATCTGCTGCCGCCAGTGCCAGCTCCCTTCGGAAGCCGCTTCCAAGTATAAGGAGTCCCACTCGCCTCGCCGCTAGTCCCGAGAGTTCCCCGAACGGGTCTCTGACGCCCAAGCCCCCTTCCTTCCGTGGCCTGAAAATCAGCTCCCTGCTCCAGAGCGTGAACCGATGTTCCTCCGAGGCCTGATTCCCGGAGATGAAGTAAGCCAGCAGCTTCATGATCCGTTTCCAGACCGCCTCCGAGGGGGGGTACACCTGCCCTTGGAAGGCCAGTATCGGGCAGACGTAACAGTTAACCACGGCTACACGCGATGTCGTCGTCAGGTGATGAGATTGCCAGTTCAGCAGTTCAGCCGCTGCCCTGGCTAGCGTTTTGTCCCACGTGACTTCCGCACTTCCCGAGGGTGAGATCCAGACACCCAGCAGTCTCTCCGCATCTCTTGGATCGACCCATGCGAAGCTTGACTCCTCGTCCTTTTTCCGGTTCAGGTTCTTTCCCAGCGGGAGCAGCGCCGATTTCTCTTTGTTGACTCTGAGTCCCGAACGAGCCTCAAACTCCTCCAAGAGCTTCTCCGCCCGACCAATCTGCCGTTTCTCGTCTAAAATCAGCGTCGTGTCGTCCGCGTACCCCAGGTAAGGCAGCCTTTCCCCGTAGTCGTTGCTTATTCCTAACTTCCGTCTTTTCGCTTCCTGGCAGATCGGCTCCACCGCGCACAGGAAGAGGTAGGGTGCCAGCGGACAGCCCTGCCGGACCCCTTTCCCAACCTCGACTTGGTCCCCTAGCCAGCCGTTGACAAGCAGCAGCGTGAAGGACCCATCATGAAGCCCTTTGCACCACCGAACGAACCTCTCCGGGAAACCCATGAGAGACATGGTATCAAAGAGGTACGTTCGGGAGACCGAGTCAAAAGCCTTTTGAAAGTCCACCATAAGAATGTACCAGTCCTTGTTGCCATGATTCGCCGCTTCGATCACGTCCGCTACCAGCGACACCGCATCCGACAACCTTCTCTCTGGGAGGAAGCCGCACTGCTCCTTAGAGATGACCCTGTCCAGGACCTTCGTCATTCGGTTGGCCAGCAGCTTCGCCAGCACTTTATAAGAGCTGGTGAGCAGTGTGATTGGCCTGTAGTTCTGGATTTGCTCTTTAGGACCCTTCTTATGCAGTATGATCGTCACGGCTTCCTGCACCTCCTCCGGCAAGGACGCTGTGGCTTCAAACTCTCTCACGAACTCCATGAAATCCTCCCTTAGCAGGTCCCAGTGGCGCTCGAGGAGCTCCTTCGGCAATCCGTCTCCGCCGGGGGCTTTATCATTTGCCATCTCTTTCAGTGCCTTTTTAATCTCATCCTCCGTCCAGCCTTCTTCCAGGGTGGCAGCTTCCTCATCACTCAACGTCTTTCCAGGCCCCGGTTTCCAACAAGGCAGTCCAGAGGCTGGTGCTTCCGCAAACAGAGAGGTGTAATAGCCGGAGGCGACCTCCAGGATGCCTCTCGTCCCTTTATGCTCCACCCCCTGATGTGATAGCAGCGGGATTGTGGCCTTCGCTTTCCGCATCTTTACTTTCGCCGTGAGAACCTTTGACGCAATCTCGCCTTTGGCAACCTCCCATTCTCCTGCCATCAGTTGCAATCTGTCACTTTCCCCCCGCAGATATGCGTCAAGCTGGGCTTCCTTCACCGACAGCTCTTCTCTCAAGCTCTCCCTTTCTGGCTCCCGCATCACTTCATGCTGCAGCGCCGTCACCGCCTCCTCCAGGTGCCGTAACGTTGCGCGAATCCGCTTCCGCTCCTCAGTGGAGTACCTACGCAGAGCCACTTTGAGTTTGGTCAGCAGGTTACCAAACCTGCCAGCTCCCCCCGCACGATGCCGTTCCGTAACCATTTGAACCACCTTCTCCACACCCGGTTTTGCTGTGTCTACCGCAGGCATACGCCACAGGCCAGGGCCCACGTGGAGGCGCAGATTTGCCCGCAGAACCACTTTAACTCCAAACTTGTGGTCCGAAATCCCTCGTAATGACTTTGTGTGGAAAGCTTCCGCTAGTGCAGGAAGCACCTCCGCCGACACCAGCGACCGGTCAATCCTCGTGCTTTCTTTCTGCGACCGAGAGTAGAAGGTGTACTCTTGGCCGCTCGGGTTCAGCACACGATACGCATCCACCATGTGTAAACCGCTGAACAGTCGAAGTAGTCTATCATTCTCTCCGCATGACCCAACGCCGGAAGACTTGTCCAGCGTCGGGTCCTCGATCAGGTTAAGGTCCCCCATCAAGAGGAGACGGCTCTGTCAGAATATGTTGTTTGTGTAGCCTGCAGTGGGGTACTCAATAGTGAGTACAGCCCCTTAGGGTTTGCTATTTGTATCCTGCTGCTTGCTAGTCCAATCATTCCCTTCCTCATTTCTGTTCGTGCACACAACTCTCGCTCGTACTTGACGCCTCGTTCTAGTCTTCCTGTGGCCTAGGCTACTAAGCCTAGGCCCGACTACTTAGTATATTTGACAGGCTACTACCTCCCAGATTGCTCAGGAACGGCGCCAGTGAGTTCGTGAAAAAGGTTTGCCGGCAGCAAGCACTTGATGGGAAGTATGCCGCTAACAGGGTGAAACTGAAAGTGTCCCATCTGACATCCGCTTGAAGCAGCCTGCCAGAGTCATGTGCAACGACATTCTCAAAGGTGAGCTGAGCGTTGTTGCTAATAATCGCCACCCCTCCCGCTCTTTCCGCGTTCGTAACAGCGTGACAGTGTTGGTACTTCAAGTCCTTCCAGAAGCGATGATCCTGCGCGATTCTCGTATCCGTTAGTATAAAAATGTCTGCATATTTCTTCATCCATGTTTTTAGATTCCTTTGTTTTCCTCTGCTTCCGAGCCCGTTCATGTTGAGCCCGCACACCGACAGATGACAGGCCTTATCCATTAATCAACCACGCGGGAGCCCCATAGCATCCACGGGCTGAGGTAAGCGATCTGAAAAGACACTAGTGAGCACTATATAGCACTGCATACATTGATAGACACATGCCTACTAACGACCTCCTGTCAGCACTCCGTCTCGACACATGTCCCGACACATCCCCTAGATGCCATACTCCTTCTTCAGCACGCGGAGGCTCAGCCTGTCTTTGAGTGCGCGCGTCGCTGATCCAGGCTTCGTCAACCCCCCGCGGTGACGCTGCGAGAGGGCGTGGTGCGCTGCCTGTTCGAAAGACGACCCCTTCCCTTTCTCGCATCCTTCCAGCAGGCAAACCCACTCCTCCCGATTCCCGGCCGTTGAGATCAGGGCCAGAGCCGGGTCCTTGAGAATGATCTTGGTGGCAACTGTCGCTACCGTCGCGGCCGCTGCATGTACGGGAAATCGGTAGGAGAAAGTCAGGCGACGGCCAGTCAAGAAAAGGTGAAGCACAAACGGGTAAGCAGCGAAATCCTTCTCTACCGTTGAGCTCATGGACTCTCCCCACTGTGAGGTTCCATTTGGTGATGTTGCTCTGCCGGATGGTGATGAAGTCGTTGTGGTTGTGCACCGAGTGCATACCGCCGCAGAGACTGCACTTCAAGGACGGATAATGGACCATAATCCAGGTTCCAGGCGCAACCGGATTTTCGAAAAAAATGCTTCCAGCGAAACTTGTCATTCTCAAAAGCCACCACCAGACCCTTCACCCAATCTGTGTCCAGCCCCAAAACAGGGTTAACCACACGGTGAAAACAGAAGCCGTCCTTGAACGCCGGCCTCTGACAGATCTTCAGCGTCGATTTCACCAGTGCCTCATGAAGCAGCTCCGGCGATATCTCCGCAGCAGTACCGATGAACAAGACTTCTATAACCGCCGGATCCAGCATCTTGCGCCGTGAGTAGCTGGGGTCCTCAGGGTACTGCCAGTCGAAGGTGACATACTTCCCATCCCTACAGAGGTGATCCACACCCTGGCGCCAAACGAAGTTCGCGTCAGCAGCATTGACAAAGGAGACTTGCAAGCGGCCGAAAAGCTTCTTGGAGAGGTAAGCCGGTGCAAGCTCTTGACACTTGGTTGACACCGCCGCATTCTCCGTGAGGTCGAGCTTCCAGAGCACCAACAGGCCCTTAACAGTCGCTTCCATGAACGGGAGCTCCTGCATGTGCTCGTTAGGAATCAACAAGGTAAGCGGAAATTTCAGCTTTGCAGCAAGCTCCCCTTTCGCCTTATCCTCGAAACTCTCGTTGGGATCATGCGCAATCAGGCCGTCGTCTTCGTCGTCCAGGATGACATAGCGAGGACCACTACCAGAAGCTTCGCCATCATCCTCTTCACCAGCAGCGTCACCCTCTGGATCTTCTGAGACCGCATCCTTAAAAACCGCATCCTTCTTCTTGTCATTATTCCCACCCCCTGCAGCCTGCTCAATCCGGATCGCTGCAAGCTTGGCGGAGAGCGTTAGTGAAGACGTCTCTTCCTCGGCGAATATCGTACGCGAGGACTTCGGCGGGACAGCCGTCGCGGAGATCGGACGATGAGTCGCTGGTGCTGGAGTCGTGACAGCCGCGGGAGCAGCAGCAGCAGCAGGGTCCATTCTGGCAGCGGGCTTAGTAGGCTTCCCCTTCGGAGGCATGACATGATGATGAAACAACCACCACAGCCAGTATAATGCTGGAAATCCATTGACACTGAGCGTCTTAATATAGCTGACGAAGCGAGCCTGAACAGCCTTAGCAGCAGCGTAACCTGGTAGATCCCTTTGCCAGGGTAACAACAATGGACCTCGAGTCTTGCGTGTGATAGCACCAGCCTTGTTATTGCCTAGGGAACAACCATTGATGTTAGATCCAGTAGCCTTGAGAGTAGATGCCTTCAAGGAACAGGATTCAATGTCAGCTGTTTTGACATAAAAAAGGAAGGCGAAACTCAAGATGTGCTTATTGGAGCCTGTAACATTGCGGAGCCTCGACATTGAGAGCTCCGAAGTCCCTGGTGGCAGCCATGGCGGCCTTGGTTGCATTGTTGTTGTCATTGTTGTTGATACGGAAAGCGTGATTTCATCCAACGTCCACACGGCTGCCCAAAATTCGGAGAGAAATGGGGGGAAAAACGACCAGAAAGAGCCCGCGGACGTGGCGAGGCCGCGATAATTTGGGTCGATGGTTTTGAGACAAACACAAAGTTCTACGATGCGTGTCGTTTCGCCAAAGAAAATACATGCTCAAGTACACTTCCTGGACATATATACGCGTTATCGCAACAAATTCGCCCAGAACCTGGGTATCCAAAGAGTTCAAATCGCATGGTAAACGCGACTCGTTCTGACAGAAAACATTTGAAATTGAGTTTTAGTCGCGTGTAGACATTTGAAATTGAATTCGAGTCGCGTGTAATGTACAGGCTGACACAAATTTCCGTTCTGGGAACGGGTTACGGAATTGTGGTGGGCTCTCTGGGCAAACCTCGAAGCGCGACATCAATTCACCAAGTCCACTAGGTCTCGGCTCGAAGCACTGACTGCTTTGCTCGTCGATATATCTACTGTTCCCCTCCCATCACCTCTCATGTTTTTTCTTGTCGTGCTTCCTACTCCACATCCCAATTCCTCGGCATATCTTCGACCGCAGTGGCCCCACATCGCGCAGAAGCGTTCTTCACGCAGAAGCCATGGACGCGACGACCGTTCCGACTTACGCCCGCGTGACAGAAGAGCAGCGAAATCTTGAACCAATGAGAGGCGCGTTAACGCAAGGCGAGGATAAAATCAACAATCTGTCCGACGACGTGCTCTCCGCAATTCTCGAGCGCGCATCTTCCAGCAAAGGGATGTACCACGCGCTCGTGTGCCGCCGGTGGCTGCGCCTGGCGCAACAATTGCAGAAGGTCGTCCACGTCAGCGCCAAGTCCATCCTCGACGCGGGCGAGCTGCTGCGCAGCTTGGCGAGACTTCCCAATGTGACCTCGCTCTCGCTAGACAACGAGAGCATCGACTTCCTCAACGACGAGTTCCTCAAAGCCCTGCCCTCCGCCTGCCCGCAGCTCTCCCGCCTGCGCCTGGACGCGCCGCGGTACTTTGGCGTGCCGTACCACCGCATTTCGCTCCAGTGCCTTCGCCGCTTCCTCCTCCGGGATCCGCGCCTCGAGGAGCTCACCCTCAACAGCTGTCTCCGGAACATGAGGAAGCTTCCCTCGCTCGCATCGCTCTCGTCGCTTCGCGTGCTCAAGATTCGGGAAAGCTTCCGCGATCTTCCCGACGAGTTCGGCGCGCTGCGCGCGCTGGAGGAGCTCCATCTCATCTGCCGCGAGCTGCGGAGCCTCCCCGCGTCCGTCACGCAGCTCACGCGGCTGTCCCGCCTCTGCCTGACTAACTGCTTCGCGATGGAGCAGCTGCCCTCGAATCTCGGCGCGCTGAGCGGGCTGATGTCGCTGGAAATAAGCGCTTCGTACCGCTTAAAAACCATTCCGGAGAGCATCGGCGCGCTCAAGGAGCTGCGCCGCCTGGTCCTGCGCTACATCAAATGCCAGCTGCCCGACGTGGGGCACGAGTGGCGCAAGTTGGAGGAGTTGCGCCTTGAGTACTGTGACTGTGTCCGCCTTCCGCCCATCTCCCTTGAGTCCCTTGCGCTCCTATCCATCCGCCACTGTTGCAGCCTTCGCGCCCTTTTCGAAGACATCGGGGAGGCGTCAGCCCTCCGCGAGCTTGAGATTGTCGAGTCGCCGATCGAGTGTCTGACGGATAGGGAGCGGTGGATGCTCGCGCCGTACGGATTGGTGCTGCCCCCCACGCTGCTGGCGCTGCCGCGACTGGCGCACGTGGTGCCGGAGAACGTGTCGTGCCTTCCTTCGCTGACTGCGGGCGGCGCAGAGGCAGATGGACGTCGCCAGCCCATCGCGCGCCCCTCACCGCTGCAATCCTTCTCCCTCTGGGGCTGCGACAACCTCACCCATCTCCCCCACACCCTCGACGCGCTCGCGCCCTCGTTGCGTGCGCTCACGCTCGCCGACCTCCCCGAGTTCTACTCCTTGCCCGCCGAGGTCTGCCGACTCATCGCGCTCACCTCCCTCTCGCTCCTCCGCCTGCCACACGTCGAGTCCCTTCCCTCCGCGCTCTCCGCGCTTTCCGCCCTCCGCGCGCTCAAAATCACCGGGGCGCGCAAGCTCACCGTGCTTCCCGAATCCCTAGACCAGCTGGCGGCGCTCGAGTCGCTGGAGCTCGACGACTACCCGCTCGCCAGCCGCTCGGACCTCCCCGAGCCGCTGTTCGACGTGACGGCGCTGCAGAGCCGGCCCACGGCGCTGAGGAGCCTGCCCGCGTCGCTGGGCCGCCTGACGGCGCTGCAGAGCCTGGTGCTGCGGTGCGTCGCACTCGCCGCCATGCCCGCCACCGTGGGCGGGCTCAGCGCGCTGACGCACCTCAGCATCACCCACTGCGCTGCGCTCACCGCGCTGCCCGACGCCATCGGCGAGCTGGGCCGGTTGAAGTCTCTGACAATAAGGAGCGCATCCATCGCGACCCTCCCAAACACGCTGGGCGGGCTGACTTGCCTCGAAGAGCTACTCGTTTGCGACTGCCCCCTCCTCGCCGCGCTCCCTGCATCGCTCTGCGCCCTTTCGCGCCTCCGCACGCTCTCCCTCACCAAGTGTCCCGCCCTTTCCGCCCTCCCCGACGCCATAGGCCAGCTGCGCGCCCTTAGGCGGTTCTCGCTCGAAGACTGCTCCGCGCTCGCCCGCCTCCCCGCGTCCCTCCCGCGCCTCCCCGCGCTCGAGTCGCTCGACATCGAACGGTGCCCGCTGCTCGCGCACCTCCCCGACGACTTTGGCCCGCTGCCTCGCCTCACGCGCCTGTCCGTCCGCAACGAGTTCCCCCGCCCCCTCGCCTCGCCCTACTTCCTCCCCCCCTCGCTCTCCCGCCTCCCCGTCTCGCTCACCCCCCTGCCCACCTCGTTCTCCCGCCTGCCCGCCTCGCTCTCCCGCCTGCCCGCTCTCCGCATCCTCGATCTGTCGTCCTGCGCGTCTCTCTCCGCGCTCCCCCCCGACCTCGCGGCCCTCCCCGCGCTGCACTCCCTGGTGCTGGACGGCTGCTCCGCACTGGCGGAGCTGCCCGCAGGACTGGCGCGCGCGCGGGGGCTGCGCCACTTGGACGTGCGCCGGTGCCCGGCGGTGAGGAAGGACACGGAGCTGGGCTTGTGCGAGCGGCGCGTCAACGTCACGTGGTCCGAAGGGAACATATGGGCGATTTACAGCCTGCAGCAGGCGACGAGGAGAGGCAAGGGCGGTGAGGGAAGGAAGGCAGCAGGAGGAGAGGCCGTGACGAGGGTCGAAAAAGGGGCAGAAAGAGGAGGGGGCGGGTTGGATGGAGCAGCAACAGTCGAATCCGGGATGGTTGCACAGAGTGAGAACAAAGATGGGGGGCGGATGGAGGAGGTGGAAGGTGAGGGGCAGAAGGATTGTGTGGGAAAGGAGGAGAGTGAGATGCGGCAAGGGGGAAACAAGGGGAAACGAGGGAGGAGAGGAGCAATGTGTGGAGGGAGGAAAAGGGGGAGGAGGTGTGGGTGACTGGGGAGGAGAGTATGACGGGGTAGGGGGGCCGATGGGATTGGGGAAGCTGAGGGAGAGCACATAGATGGAAGCGAGGTTGGGGAGTGCAAAGGGAGAGGCTGGGGAAGAGGCTGGAGAAGAGGTGAAGTGGTGAGTGGGTGAGGGGAGGAGGGAGGGAGTGAGGTGAGGGAGGGGGGTGAGCAGCAAGGGGAGGACGGAGGAGGGGGCGGACAGGCAGGGTTTGGGGAGGATGGGTGTGCTGGGTGGCGCGGATTGTTTGGGCAAGAGGGCAGCACAGGCGAGTTTGCAAGGTGGTGACAGGAGGGTCAGGAAACAGGGAGCAGGGAGGGGCGAAGAGGGGAGGGCAGGACGGCAAGAAAGCGTGGAAAGGGGCAGGTGAGGCGTGGGCAAGCAAGGGCGGAAGTGGGAGCAAGGCGGGCTGCGGGGGAAGAGTTGGAGAAGGGAGGCGAGGGCCGAGGTGTGGCTCAGCAAGTGAGGTGCCAACTGCCTCTGATCTGAAGTGAGGGCTGCAGGACCTCATTTAACAAGGCTGAAGTGAAGGCAAGCTGCTGCTGGTGTGCTGTTGCCGGTTCCTAGTCAGACCATATCCTCCATACCATGCTGCCTCTCTCATGTAGTTTCTTGTTGGTGGATTAAACATTGCCTACCAGTGTAGATGTTTCAGTGGGCTACTACTAATGCCTAGCACTGTGTGCCAATCAGGGAAACCACTTAAATGTACAACTAAACAGCCTAGCACTGCAAGATAAATCGGCCTCTCTGTTGGAAACATTTATTTCAACCCAATGGCCTCAATCCGATGTCTTTGCCCCCAGCAGTCAGGTCAGTTTGACGCTCTGCCTGCACCAGTGCCACGCGCGGTATGTGCACCCGCCAGCACACCACACAGGTTGAAAAGGGGGGACTGATACAACACACACACTCTTGTGTGACACACTGCTTCAGCTGCGCCCTTCACAACACAAATCTCCCTCCCACTTGGAGTGCCGGCGACCCATCCTCCAAAATTTACATGCTACCATGCTCCCATGTTCGCACACTACCATACTCCCCATCCTATTCTCCCCTGCTCCCCTCCGTCTGCTTCCCTGCTCCCATGCTCAAATTCTCTCAAGAAGCACACAGAAATCTGCAGGTTGTACTGTACGCACAAATGATGGGTATCCTGCAGATCATAAACAACTGGAGCACAAACGCCTTGAGAGCAGGAATTGCGAATGCAGTGCCAGTCCCCTCACCTCCCTCCTCATCGCGGTCTGGTGGCAACCCGGGGGAGGGCGGGGAGAAGGAAGTAGGTGGAAGAAGAGGCAAGGAAGGCCAGGAATAAGTGGTGCGGTGCCCCACATACGATCCGTAGCTGTCCCTGTGAGTTTTCATTACTCGCTTGCTGCGACAACATGGTAACATGGAGAGGGAGTGGGGGAGGACATAGGCAGCTTGAGAGCCAGAGAGGCCAGCAGTGTGCGGAGCCCCACGTGCAAGGCCAGCTGCCTGAGTGGGTGCTTGGTGCACACTCGCTGCATTTCACGGGAAGAAGAAAGGAGTGAGGGTGAATATAGAAGAGCATATGCGTGATGGCTGCGTGGGGGAGCAAGGCCGCGTGGGGGGAGCAAGGCTGCTTGTGGGAGCATGGCTGCGTGGGGGAGCATGGCTGCGTGGGTAAGCATGGCTGCGTGGGTAAGCATGGCTGCGTGGGTAAGCATGGCTGCGTGGGGGAGCATGGCTGTGCGGGGGAGCAAGGCTGCATGGTTAAGCATGGCTGCGTGGGTAAGCATGGCTGCGTGGGGGAGCATGGCTGCGCGGGTAAGCATGGCTGCGTGGGTAAGAATGGCTGAGAGATGAGGGGAAATGGCAGAAATCAGAGAGAATTGCAGTGGCCGAGCCAGCGGTGGGGAGAAGCGGCACTGAAGAAGGCTGAGCGGGTCCTGTCCCCGCGAGCCGAAACTAGTTTGCGATTGAGAGTGGATTCTTAGGAGTCGAGAGTTTCTTGAAGTACCTGAAATTCTGGGAAGCGTTTTATCGTCTCGTTTCCTTTGTTGCTTAAGCGTTCTTTTCAAGTTTGCCGGCATGCATGCTTCCCTGAGGGCGAGTTTAGATCCATGCCGTGGGGCGAGCCAGCCAGCATGTGCTCCCGCTGGTTGCTCATGTTGAACTGATCAATCGCCTGGTGAGGTGGCAGGGGTGAGGGGTGAAGCGCGAGGGGGAAAGAGAGGGGGATAAAGGGGAAGGGATGGAAGAATGCGGGTGGGCAGGGCTGCATGTGCTCCCGCTGGCTGCTTATGTTGAAGCGGTCACTCGCCCTGATGGTGACGGGTGAAGGGGAAACGAAGCAGGTAAGAGAACATCAGCATCGGGAGAAGAGACGGCGGGTTAAGCTGCATGTGCTCCAGCTGACTGCTTATGCTGGCGCAGGATGGATGGGCGGAGGGTTGGGGGGGAAAGGGCGGAGGGTGAGGGGGGAGGGCGGAGGGTGAGGGGGAAGGGCGGAGGGTGAGGGGGAAGGGCGGAGGGTGAGGGGGAAGGGTCGACGGTGAGGGGGAAGGGCGGATAAGGAAAAAAGAAAGTGGTGGACACGGCTGCACGTGCTCCAGCTGGCTGCACGTGCTCCAGCTGGCTGCACATGTTGAACCGGTCGCTGGCCTGTCGAGGGGTGAAGTGGCGAGGGTCGCGGATGGAGAGAAAGGAAAGGGTGGAGAGGCTGAGGGGAAAAGCGGCGAGGGTGAGGGAGAAAGGGCGGAGGGCTGAGGGATGCGTGAGGAATGGGAGGAGAGTTGAGAGATAGTACGAGGCATGACTACGGCGAGAAGGCATGCGATTACGGCGAGAGGCTTGTGATTACGGCGAGAGGCTTGTGATTACGGCGAGAGGCTTGTGATTACGGCGAGAGGCTTGTGATTACGACGAGAGGCTTGTGATTACGACGAGAGGCTTGTGATTACGGCGAGAGGCTTGTGATTACGACGAGAGGCTAGTGATTACGGCGAGAGGCTTGTGATTACAGCGAGAGGCTTGTGATTACGGCGAGAGGCTTGTGATTACAGCGAGACATCTCAAAAATCTAGGGCCTCCTGTAAATGGTATAGTCTATTGAGCCTCCTTTCTCGATTGTTTCCGAGCGTCATAAGGTGCTGTTTATATCCGTTGGCAGATTGCGGGGGCATGTTAGAGATGCCTTTCAACCCTGTTGTGGCTATTCTGCGCGCACGGAAATGTGTTTGGTTGCTTCGTGGAATGTGCAGAAGATTGATCTACGGATGAAATTCCAAGCGATTTGAACAACGGTCGTGATCGCAGCTGTGATTCATGTGGTTTGTCGCGCCGCACTCCGTGCGGCATGTGTTTGTGGGGGGTGAAATTTCGATTGTTGTTGTACGTTAGATGTTCGAGGATCTACGGCTCCTTTCCGTCGGCGGGAAAGCTTTAGGGCTCTCGCTTCACAACTGCACGTACAGAACCTTAGCATTTTCGGCGGATGTATGAGCTGTAGTAAATCTACGGCTGTGCTTGTTCCCATCATTTCAACGGGTGCGATCTTGTCTGTATTCCTCTTTGTTGGTTGCACCATTACGAGACATTACGTTTTGTGTTCTGTTCTGTTTGTAGTCTAATTTGTTGAGATGGTTTTTATACAAGTTTGAGATTTGGGGTGTGGTGTAGTTGGCGATCATACACGCGGTTTGTTTTTCGATATGGCCGTTCAGTAAAACGTTGAGCAACTACACCAAAGCTTGCACGATTCAGGATGAGGGTTGTCGATGGCCGTTTTAAGTCCGGGCAGTTGAACCGACATTCTTGCCGTTCAAAAAGTGGGTTGGCAACCTGAGTAGTAGTGTACTGGTGATGCGAAATTGCCGAACTGGTTGCCTTCCGCGACTTCTACCGTTAATCGCGGCGGACTGGCAGCCAATCGCGTGTGTAGGCGAAATTCGATTCACAACCACATCGAAGCGCGTCTAATTTCACCACACAATTTCAACGAATTCAACCTGGAGGCGCACATTTGCCCTCATTTTGCAAGATGCGTGATGTCGTTGGGGTGCCTAGTGAATTTGCATGCATGTGAATTCAGAAGTAGTGAATTCACTGCTTGTGAAGCCAATCTTCACTAGCGCAGCTCTGTCAATTCCCACGCACTCCCACACTTCAGTTCCTGATTACTCTTCTCAATGTAATTGCTACGCCATTTGTTAGTCTCCAGTTCAGGAACAGCAACGAGCAGTCATGGATGAGTCAGAATATTGCAGTTTATGCAAATGTGGCCCGTTTGTTCTTAGAGGTGGGCTGCAAAGGCACATAGGAAGCGACCAGTGCAGGTTGGCGCAAGCCAGCAGTGCGACGTGCAATCCCGCCAGCAATAGGAACGCCACGGCGGCGAACAACACTGCTCTGTCATAACACATAGCTCATGCATATTGTGTAGGCTATAGTGGGGTAGCCCATAAGGGGTACAACCCAATTAGGGTTAGTACTTGTACCCAATTCATTCATAGTTCATTCATTCCTCGTTTCTTCTCATGGTATCGAGCAGGTTCCCTAGTGGGAACGCTTCCTAGGGCCCACCACAAACTTTTTTTTTCCTGCCCGGAGCGCGCTTCGCTCCCACGGTCGCGCCCTCTCACGACCCCTCACGGCCCCTCGCGTCACCCTAGCGCGGCCCCTTACGGCCCCTTACGGCCCCTAGCGCGGCCCGTCAGCCCCTTACGGCCCCTTACGGCTCCTAGCGCGGCCCCTCGTGCCGCCCGTCGACCCCTTACGGCCCCTTACGGCCCCTTACGGCACCTCGCGCGGCCCCTTACGGCCCCTCGCGCGGCCCCCTACGGCCCCTACCGCGGCCCCTTACGGCCCCTCGCGCCGCCCGTAGGCCCCTCACGGCCCCTTACGGCCCCTCGCGCCGCCCGTCGGCCCCTCACGCGGCCCCTTACGGCCCCTCGCGCGGCCCCCCCCTACGGCCCCTACCGCGGCCCCTTACGGCCCCTCGCGCCGCCCGTCGGCCCCTTACGGCCCCTTACGGCCCCTCGCGCGGCCCCTTACGGCCCCTTACGGCCCCTCGCGCCGCCCGTCGGCCCCTCGCACCGCCCTCAGCGGCCCCTTACGGCCCCCTACGGCCCGTCGCCGCCCTCCGCGGCCCCTCGCGCCGCCTCTTCACGGCCCGTAGCAGCTCTCCGCGGCTCCTCGCGACGCGGCCCCTCGCACCGCCCTCTCCGGCCCACTGTCGCCGCCCCTACCGCAGCGGCCGCCGCCGTCCCTGCCGTCGCAGCCGCAGCCGTCGCCAGCAGCAGCCGCCACCACCTCCCTCGGGGCCGCGGCTGCTGCCGCAGCTGACTGCACCCGCCGACGCCGCTCCACTCGGCCCCGCCGCCGCTCCCCACGCGGCCTCGCCGCGCCTCCTGAGCCGCCCGGGCCTGCCGAGCCGCCGTACCGCCCGAGCCGCCGTACCGCCCGAGCCGCCCGAGCCGCCGTGTCGCCGAGCCGCGCTTGCTGCCGAGCCGCCGTACCGCCGAGCCGCCCGAGCCGCCCGAGCCGCCGAGTTGCCGAGCCGCCAAGCAGCTGAGCCACCCGAGTCGCCCTGTCCGGTAAGTGCAGCACCTCTGTCCCTGCACTGCCCTCACCCTACTGTTAGCGCTGCTAGTCTACTGCTGTCATGGCTACCCCTAGTGTCCTTGCCTTTGACGCTGAGGGTCGGGCCATTGACTTTGACGTCTGGGTAGATGACCTGCAGCTTTTCTTACAGTGCGACAGAGCAGACGGCCTCTCCCTCTTTGACCTCACTTCTGGTGCCTCTCCTGCCCCCGCTGCTGATGCTGACGCCACTGTTCGCTCACAGTGGGCCACGCGCGATGCTGCTGCACGTCTTGCTGTGCGTCGCCACCTACCGACCTCTGAGCGTGCGCACTTTAGCCAGTACAAGAGTGCTCAGACCTTGTACGACGCTGTAGTTGCACGCTACTCCTCCCCTGCCACTGCTGCACTGAGCCGCCTCTTGCTACCGTACCTCTTCCCTGACCTTGCTGCCTTTCCCACAGTCGCTGACCTCATTACGCACCTCCGCACTAGTGACACTCGCTACCGCGCTGCGCTTCCTGCTGAGTTCTGCGCCAAGAACCCCCCCCCCATGTACATCACCCTCTACTACATAGTCACCCGTCTCCCTGACTCCCTTCGCGTAGTCAGGGACCACTTCCTCTCGGTTTGTCCCACCACTCTCACCGTTGACCTCCTCGAGAAGGCCCTCCTAGCAGCAGAAAAGAGCATAGTCGCTGTAGGAGCCTCTCGTGGTGACCCTCGCACCCCCATTTTTTAGGGGTGTTCCCCCTCCCCTCTTTTGCCCTCTGTTGCCTCTGCTGCTGCGGCCGACCTCGCTGGTTTGGAGTCGGTTGGGGCAGCGTCTACCCCTAGCGGGAGACGCCGCCCTGGCAGGGGCAAGGGGGGCAGGGGCGCTGGAGGAGCTAGCGGGGGCGGTGGAGGCGGCGGTGGAGGCGGTGGAGGAGGTGGGGGTGGCGGTGGGGGTGGTGGCGGGGGTGGAGGTGTAGGTGGCGGCAGTGGAGGCGCAGGAGGCAGCGGCAGTGGCGGAGGGAGCGGAGGTGGCGGCCGTGGAGGAGGAGGCGGCGGAGGAGGTGGAGCTGGTCGGGGTGGCGCTGTGCAGAGGGTCAGCTCCGGTGGTGGTCAGCGCCAGCAGCAGCAGCAGCAGCAGCAGCAGCGCACTCGTGACGTCCCCTCCCCTCAGCAGCTCCGTGAGTGGTACACTGCACGCCAGAGGGGTGGGGGTACTGGTCCGTGCACCTACGTCCTGCGCACCGGCGACCGCGCGGGTGAGCAGTGCGGGGGTGCGCACTCCACCCAGCGCTGCTTTGGCCGCCTGACGGACGCTTGGCGTCACCAGTTCCCTGAGGCCACTGAGATCCCCCGCTGGGGTGAGCTGTCTAGGGCGGGTGTAGCTGTCTTTGACCTTGACTTTGATGCTATTCTTGCTGCCGTGTATACTGTGACTATTAGTGATGAGGGTGACTGTTACCGGTGTTTTCCGCCCGACCCGGGCATTGAGACTGCTGCTCTAGGTACTGGTGAGGCTGCTGCTCTAGGTGCTAGCGAGGCTGCTGCTCTAGGTGCGTCTGCTCCCTCAGGTGCTGGTGAGTCTGCTCTCTCAGGTTCTGCGTCGGCTTCGGCCTCCCACACCTTCACCCTTGACTCGGGGGCTTCTCGCTCCTTCTTTCGAGACCGCACCACACTCACGCCGCTTGGCCGGCCAGTTGCGGTCTCTCTGGCAGACCCCTCTGGGGGTCCTGTCCTTGCGCACTTCTCCACTGTTCTCCCGTGTCCGGCGGCCCCCTCTGGCACCCTGTCTGGTCTCTACCTCCCCTCGTTCTCTACGAACTTGGTGAGTGGTGCTGACCTACAGGATGCGGGGGTTCACCAGTTCACTCCTGCGAGTCAGCGGGTGACCCACTGCACGGACGCTCGGACAGGCCGCCACCTGGCCACGTTTACACGTCGGCCAGGGTCGAGCCTGTACACACTGACCACTGCGTCTCCTCCAGTCCCTGCGTCTGGTCAGGTAGCTGCGTCGGGTCAGGTGTTTGCTGCAGCGTCCAGGTCTGGTCCTGAGTCTGCCCCCTGCACGTGTCGCCTCCTGTCTCACGAGACTCTCCTCTGGCACCACCGTCTTGGTCACCCCTCCCTGCTTCGTCTCCGGAGCATGGCCTCCCGTGTCCTTGTCTCTGGTCTTCCCCGGTCCCTCCCTCCCCTTCCTCCGGGGCCTGGCCCTACCTGCGTCCCCTGTGTCGAGGGACGGCAGCGGGCTACCCCCCACTCCT